GGCACTGATGTGTCAGTGCACCAAGTTGTTAAAAGAATACAAGGTATAATTGTTAAGTCCAATCCCGCCCCCTTCTGCAAATAGGTCATCAGACGCTGCTTATAAATTCCCCTGGAAGCCTAATAATTTCAGTAAACAGGGCTGCCTATCCCCATTTGAAAGCCAGCCAGAGATTCTCCAAGAGAAAGAAATCAAAGTGAGCTTTTCAAGGATATGATACCTGGAGGACAAGATAAATGAAGGCAGATACCAATTTTAAGTCCACTGATGTCTACAATCCATTATTAATATGTTATCCCTGCTTTTCACTGCACACATAGAAGTAGCAACCATCATCTTTTCTTCAAATATGCAACTAGGTTGATTTCTTTTAATTTATGATTTAGAGGCTAGTCTACCCCAATAGGTTTTGACCAGCTGATGCTTAAAAAGAAGGAAACAATGATAACAAATACAGCCTGTATAGGTCCAGAAGAGTCTATTGGTAGAGTCAAAACATTCCATGGGGTTGTCTGTGGGGATTTTTAATCATTCAGCTCAGGCGTCTCCAAATTTGGCAACTCCAGTATGGTACCTGAGGAATTCTGGGAGTAGAAGTCCACAAGTCTTAAAGTGCCAAATTTGGAGACCCCTGATCCATGTCATGGCTGTCCCATGAAGCTCAACTGCTATCCTATCCCAAAGCCTGGGAGAAGAGCAAGAGATTCAAAGGGTTTCTGAACATTATCAAGGGGGAAGCCCCATGGATTTCTATGGGGGATCTTATTCCAGAGAACTGGTACTGTGATAGGAAAGGCCTGCTTCCTGGATCTTGGCAGAGGGCATTGTTTAATCAGTGGGACCTGGAGTACATCTACTCTGCTCAATCTTACCAGGTAAGCAGAAATGATCAGAGCTAGGTGGTTCCTCAAATGACCACATCGAATGCCACAAAGGGTTTTTTAGATGGTAACCAGCATCTTGAATTATACAGATAGTCCTTGACTTACAACAGTTCATTTAGTGACCGTTCAAAGTTACAATGGCACCGAAAATATCATTTTTCTCACTTATGACCTTTGCAGCATCCCCAGGATCATGTGATCAAAATCTGGGTGCTTGGCAACTGGTTCATATTTATGATGGTTAGTGTCCCTAGATCACATATTGTGGCCTTCTGACAACCAAAGTCAATGGGGAAGCCAGATTCACTTAACAACCGGGTTACTATCTTACCAATGGCAGCGATTCACTTAACAACTGAGCTAAGATCAAACAAATTAGAGATCAAAGCCCAATGCATATAAAGAGATTATCTAATGTATTAATAGAAATGGATTCGGAAACAGAACTAGTTAAAGACTGTATGATAAAATGGGATCAAAATTTTGAAGAACCAATAATGTTGGATACATGGGAAAAGATTTGGGTAAGAAATGTAAAAGCACCAAATTTGAGAGAAAACTTTTATAAGATGTTTTATAGATGGCATTTAGATCCTAAAAAACTGGCTTCTATGTATCC